TACCCCCCCTACCCCCCCACCCCCCTGGGGCTGTAAGGGAGAAAGGAAGAAGGTTTCCACCCTCTCCGCCTTCGGCAACCATCCAACACGCCCCCCAAGGTCGGCGGATAGTACCAAAACGGCCTTAAATTGGGAATTGAAACTATTCTAAGTTGCCTTGTCTATGACCTCAGACCCTAAATCCTATATAACTCTTGTGAAGGTCTTGTTTGCAGTCATTGCTTTGTCGTTCGGCATGGTCCTTTGCGATGTCCTGATGGAGCCTTGTCTGGAGTGTGTTGTTTTTCGGGTTTTGGCATTCGAGCTTGTTGTTTTCCAGCTTGTGGCGCGTTCAAGGGAGTTCAAGGTACGCGTGTTTGGGCGGAACATGTCTTTAGTATGGCTTTATGCGAGCTGCGCTGCATGCATAGCTACGATGGTTGCGCATGTGCTGCAGCAGTGGTTCCGATAGCTGCATGTAGGGCTGCTTGTGTAGCACAAGCTGCAGGTGGAAGCATTCCGGCAGTTCTCGAGTTTTCTTCCACAAAAGGTCGATTTTGGGGCAGTTTATTTGGGGATGCTATAGCTACTATACGGAGCCCCCAATACACAGTAAGAGTATATCCTACTTTCAGGGAGAGAACTTTACATCAAGAATGTAAGCTTACTTTGTTCAGCCACCAACCAACACCACTTAGTTGACTTTGAGTTTCAACGAGATCCAAGGAGTTGTGTCGCTGTGAAGACGGCAAGCTGCGAACAACATACCTTCGCATGCAGATGTGCACCTCGAACCGCGAGCAGTAAAAGTGTTTCAACATGTTAGTGCCTTCATATGGTAGTTTCCCTAAATAATGGGACCGCAATATACTATAATCCTTATCATGGGGACCCCCAATAAGGTACCCCTGATTTTGGGAAACCCCATATGGGTTTAGGTGGAGGTGGAGATGAAGTACACGTCTTTTTCTTTTTGATTGGGCTTACCGCCTTGCCAATATGCAGACTCAACAAGCCCGAACAAGCCTGGATAAGTGCCAACAATCTCTATAGTTTAGGCGTTACTGTGTGGGCCCCACTAAGACCCCCAAATGTCTCTAACATGCCATACTTTGTGTTCCCCCCTGTAATGCTTGAACCCTGAAGTGAAAATCCCTAAGCCCTAATTCCTAAACCTTATAATGCCTAAACCCTTACTCCTCAAAACCAAACCTTGCACTCCTAAATCCTGAAGCCCTGAACTTCCCCGAACCCTAAGGCCCTAAACCCTAAATCCCCAAACTCTTCTTCCCTAAATCCCTAAACCCTCAACCCCCAATCTCCCTCAACCCTACCGAAGCTCTGAATCCCTAAACTCCTAATCCCTCATCCCTACCCTAAGCTATCCTTTGAAACCCCCTTACCTATACAAACCCTTCAAGAGACTCCCTAAGCCCTTAACCCTTAGCCCGAAACCCTGAACCGTAAACCCCAATCCCGGAACCCAGGCATGCAGATGGTGGCATCCAGCTGCATTGCTCCTTGGTTGGTGCTGCCTTGCGGACGCTGGGCGTACGTGGAATTTAGGGTCCACGGCTTAGGGGTTCGAGTTTAGGCGCTTTGGGTTTGGCGTCTGGGGCTGCAGGGATTTCTAGTTTAGAGTTTTGGGTTTGGATCTACGGGGTTTGGGGTTTAGGGCTTAGGGTTCTGGATTTTTTGTCTTAGGGTTTCGAACCCTAAGCCCTAAACCCTATACCGCTAACACCCCACGGGTCCAGGGGTCTGACGTATTTGGTGTTGTTGGGACTCTACCCTAAAACTTGGGTACTCCCCCACCCAGTAACAGTCTATATTAGGCGTCCTCTTAAGGGCTATATATAACCATACTATATTCATTATCCAACTGTTGCCGGGCGGGGGCAGTACCCAACTTCCGGGCCATTTGAACCCTAAACCCTAAGGCAACTTCACCGGACGTTGCCTTCAAAGGGTTTAGGGTTTAGGGTGTATCCAGATGGTTGCAAAGAGGCTTTAGTTGAGCCACGCGGTTTAGGGTTTAGGGATCTGGCATTGGTTTAAGATGGCCAGCTATGTGTGCTACTGTCGATATTCGCTTTATAAAGGGACCCTTGACAGTGGAGAAAGGGCTGCCTCTTGTAGGTTAGTCTAGTCCTTAATAAAATGCCTCAGAAGGAACCCGTGTCCATTAAATTATGTCATATAGAAAATTAAGATTGCAGCTCATATGAGCTATGGCCTAAACTCCGTAGAGGGCATTCTATAGGGGATTACTACATGGGTTACCGCGGGGATATTAGGAGTTTAGATTATAGCTCAGAAAATATTCGCCGCAGCCCATATGCAAGGGAAAGTCAACCTTGCCAAACAGCCACTGCCAGAGGCAGACAGATCGATCTGCTTTCCCCTATCCTTGACGACCGTAAACCCTTAAACCTAAACCCTTAGCCCTTAACCCATTAGACCCTATACCAGCAAGACAACCCTGAGACTGTCCCAGCAAGCTCTGAGGATTCACTTCTCTGTACAATCGCATTCTGCACTACGGCATACCCATTGGATGCTGGAAAGTCGCTGTTGCGTTCACGCTGCGACACGCCTCCCGGAATGATTGAGTTGTTCCTACGTAGTCCAAGGTTGGGAGTATGGGCCCTCAGCGGGTTTAGGGTTTAGGGTTTCTTGGCTATAGGGATTTGAGGATTTCAGGATCCTTAGGTACACGTAGGGTAAGTAGTAGGTATATCAAATCTGGATCCCAGAATTGTTTTAACCCTGGACCTAGAAGCCCAGCTACCCCACATCGTCGGGTCTTGGGTTGTGGGCTTTAAGGGATCTAACCCTAAACCCTCAAACCCAAATCCTTACCTAACTAGAACCATCTAGAAGCCCACCAACTACCAACATTATCCATGGATAGCCCTCGGGTTTGAAACAGTTTAGGGTTGAGGGCATTAGGGTTTAGGGTATATGACTGCAGTATACTGTACCCCAACACCCTACTCCATTCGTTCAGCCCCCTGCTTTGGGTGTTCACAAGGATTGAGGATTGAGGGACAGTAGCCCATGAAGCACAAACCCTAAACCCCATTATGAGGGTAACTTGGCATCTGAGCAACGGCTTCAACCGCTAGCTAGCCATAACAATGGCTTCTGGTTCCACCGATTGGAGCTTCATCCAATAAAAACCCGTAACAACCTCTCAGAGGGGCCCTAGATCCCTCACTGGGAACTTGTAAGCCCAAATCCCTATACCCGATCCCCCATAAGCCCTACATCCTTTCTAGCTGGAGGTTCAGACTCAGCTGGAAAATCTGGAGTTGCGGAAGCAAGCTAGCTTCTTGACCTTTGACGCTTTCAGCTTGCATCCAGGAAGTATTTTTGTGACAGGTTGGTGTTCATATTTCAGATGTTTCTCTCGAGTTGTTTTGTGACCCTAAGCCCAAAACTCAGTTGGAAGATCAACATCTGTGAGCCATCCTATTTGAGCACCCCTATGCACTGACCCATGTCAGATGACCGCGTGCTCTTTAAATAGGGTTTACAGTTCAGAGTTTAGTGCATCTAAACACTAATCCTGAAACCGTGCATGCCGCATGCCCTCCACGGAGCGGGGTCCAGGCCCTACCCCAAACAGCAAATCCTACAACCTGAGACCTTGCAGCCTCCCACCCAGCTCTGCACCCTACACTTCTACACCCCAAAATCCTGAATTAGGGTTCAGGGTACAGGGTTCAGGGTTTAGGGCCCTAAATCCTGAACCCCGGTTCTTAACCCTGAAGCCCCCAACCCCCAAGCCCCTCAGCAAGCAAGCCTGCCCAGCAAAGTGCTCGCAAGGATTTGGAGGATGCCACTTGCTCCTATGAGTCCGACGAGGCTTAGGGTTCAGGGAGTAGGGGGTAATGCCCCTCAGTGATTCGATTAGGGTGTGATTAGTGGGAGGGGGGTAGTTAGGGAACCCATAACATATAGTCCCCTTTATAGGTAGATAGAGTGTGGTAGATAGAATATGGCGTATGTGGGGATCTTATTATGATATACTCAAAGTCATGTTCTATCTTCTTAAGGGGGACTATACCCAATAATCCCTACATATCCCTATATAACCCCAATATATACTCTATAATGCCGATATAACCTCCCCAAAAGGGGACTAAATTCCGGTAAAGTCCCTAGAGGCGCACCTTTTGCATACAGATCCCACCAGGACCAGATACGCGAGGCCATTGCCGGCTTTGAGGAGGACGTGATCACGGCAATCACGGCTTCTCAGTTGTCTGTAGTACTTTTGCGTTTTGGCCTTAAACCCTAAACCAACAGTACTTCACTGTTTTTGCGGAGTGCTTTGAGAGTTCAAGGGACACTGAAGTACTATGCCTTCCTTCCATCTAGTCAGGGGAATGTGGAACTAAAGAACCTTGAATTCCTGTTCAAGTAGTTAGCTTGTATCTAGGCATTGCAGCAAGCCCATGTGAGGACTAGTCTAAACTCCTCCCCTGTATAATCTCCTATGTAACCCCCTTAAAGGAGTTTAGACGCACTCTAAACCCCTAAACCCTAAACCCAAAACCCCCAAACCCAAAACCCCTAAACCCTAAACCCCTAAACCCTAAACCCCAAGCCCATGTCGATTCCAAACAGGTCCTCAAGTCGGCCGGCGCCTACAACACCTCCATCCGGCGAGCACACACAAAGGGCCAAGATATCGCAGGACAGTACGCTAGGTTTAGGGTTTAGGGTTTAGGGTCCCCTGACCCTCCCTACTTGCAGGGTTAGGGGGACTTACTAACTAAGTAGGTTGAGAATAGGATAAGTAGGGTTACTATATAGATTATAGGGCTTGTTAACCCTAGGTTTACCACTTTGCCGCCGCGGGATCCTACACCGTAAGCCCTGTGAGAGTCCTAAACCCCTAAGCCCTAAACTCCCTTGCCTGTTCAGAACTCCAGTAATCAGTTGTTTTTTTTGTGAGGGGGGGGGGAAGGGTGTCACTGGCAGATTTGGACCTTGAAACGATTCACAATAAAAGTTATGATCCTCAGGGTGGTTATGACCTTACCAAGGCCCTTCGCCGTTTCTTGGTCGTTCCTTTCCAAAAAGCAGTGCGCTGGTGTGAGAACCCAGACTTCCGCATAGCTTGTTTAGACTTAGGTGCTAAGCATATCTGAACTATGACAACCGCCATTTCACTTCTCAAAATCATCCCTACGCAATCCTCTCCAACCCCTGTACATGCCTAGGATCTCCCACCCAAACCTAGACCCTAAACCCTAAACCACGTGGCTTAGACCCATAACACCCTGAGAAGGGTCCTTTTGGGCCGACAGCCTTGAACTTATCTTCTTGAGATTTCGGGGTTTCCCAAAATTAGGGGGTACCATTTTGGGGGTCCCCATCATAAGGACTATAGTACTTTGGGGTCTATATTGGGGTCCCTTTCTTTTGGGAAACTACCATTTAGGGCGGAGAGTACGGAGCAACGTGAATAAAACCTTAACCATGGTGGACTTGCAATCATGGTAACCGCGCGCGGGAGATTATCTTGGCTCTTCCAATCCAGAAGAGGCAATGTTAGATTTAGGAACCACTTACCGTACACCTTCCTGTACTTATGTTGGTTCACCCATGAAGAAGACAGGCGTTGCTGAGTTGCGGCTAGCTATTCAGGTCGCATGTCACAGCCTTGTGGGAACACAGGGCTTGCAGTCGTGAGTCAGAGAGGGGCCAATGTCATCGGGGATCGTACGGGCTACCGTAAGAAGTCCCTGCCCATCTTCCCTACTAGGCACCATGTAGCTGGGCCGTGGGGTAGGGGCAGGGTGTTTGAAAAAAATAAATCGCCAAGGGTCCAAGGACTCAAACAATTGGGTTTCAAATCCCGAATACTATAATGGGTCCTTGGACCCTTAACCCTATGCATCCCTACATATCCCTAGAGATCCCCTATAACCCTCTTTAAAGGGACCCGAATATTTGGGTCCTTGGACCCTTGGAGAATGAGATGCAATGTGGGACCGAGCCACCCAAGTTTAAACGGCCCTAGACCCAGACCCCTGATTACCAAACCACCTCCCCTTAATAGGGATAAAATAGGGATCCTCATATTTAGGCTCTTGAAAGGAGGGGGTTGATTGATCTTGGGTTTACATTAGATCCTAAGTCGGAACTCACAACCCTAGGACCTACCCAAGGTCTCCTATGTAGTTTCTTTTGGGGGTTTGTTATGGTTTTTTTGGTAAGGGATTATAATGGAGTACCCCAAAAGGAACTACATAGCAGGGTCTGGGTAAACCCCTAAACCCCTAAAACCCCAAACCCTACACCCTGAACCTCAAATTGAAGCAGGAGCCGGGAATTCGCACGTGGCTTGGCCGCGGTTTGCTCTTGGAGTTTCTCAGACTCGCTCCTAAACAGGTAGGATCTCCGGGTTTTTGGGTTTAGGGTTTAGGGGTTCAGGGTTTAGGGGTTTAGGGGTTTAGGGTTTAGGGGGCCTATAACAGTATGAGGGTTCCAGATAGTCCACTAGTTATTCGGACCAGCCTGATACACCTTCTTACCCGATGGTACCTATACATATCGCCAATGTTCGTACGGATGTTCACTAAGCCATTTTGGACCGCGCTTCTTAGGAAATTCTTACATGAGTTTTCTTTAGGGTTGCTGCTCAGGAACTTGAATTGAATTACCCTAATATGGGTGTACAGTCAGGAATGGGCTTCACTTGACTTAAGTTCCCCAACAGCAACTCCATCTCGAATCAGGTGAGATTGTATTGTGGAGTGAGATAGAGGTGATAGAGATGATCAGGGGTTGAATCCCTTTTCGTTGCTCTAGGATGAGACTGAGAATGGCCCATCCATCGTGGTGTTGCGCATAGAATCCTCCATGTCTCCATGCTATAAACTCCTGGTATCCCCCGTAGTAAACCCCACAATGCTCCATACAGAATCCCCAATGTGACCCTCCTTTTTTTGGAGTTTAGACTATAGCTCATCTACATTTTCCCTTGTAAAGGGAAACCTAAGTTCAAATTGCAGTAGAGTATATCATATCATCTTACCTTATTTTCCTTATCCTACAGTTTTGACCTTCGAGAACTTAAGCTATTTACAAGGCTGATTGTGGGTAGATACCGACGTCATCACCTTCTCCTACTATGAAGTTCCCCCCCCCTTCCTGCCAGTAGTAGATATTCCCGAGTGGTATAGCATATTCTATGGGGAGTATTACAATCTTCGGGGGGGTTGTGCGCTTTGTTTTTGAAGACCTGGGGCAGGGGATGAATGTCCCGATTGTGAGAAGCTATATAATATTGTGCGTACTGAATACTACGAGGATGGGAGGTTTTTCATGTTGGCGGAATTCCAGAATCTCAGTGTATTGGCAGTATGCAACATTACGGGGGTGGGGTGTTATTCGAGGAGGGGAGAAGTGTAGGGTACGTGACCAAGATTGCTGTTCACAGAAAGGCCATTATGGAATAGAAACTACCTGGACCCTCAAATATAGTTCCTTTATGGGTTTGGTATTGTTTTTTGGGTTAGGACTCATATTCGGACTACCAAAAAGGTACTACATTGGAGGGTTTAGGTAAATCCTAAACCGGGTTCCCGAAAGGCCCTTCAGATCAATGCCCCATATCCCTAGAGTCCCCAGGGTATCGAGGAACCTAACTCTTAACCCTACTTGAAGGATCACTTGACTTAGCAAGTCTACTTAGTAATTTGGGTCAAAGGGCTTAGAATACGGGTTATCAGGGATAGTAGGTAAACTTATTAAGTCAAAAGATCATCCAACTAAACCCGATTTTGAGACTCCCCAGGTAGACATGCGACTCAGCGCGGCGATGATTCCCTGGACTGTCTGCCTGATTGAGGATGGGGGTTCTGGCGTCTGTAGTAGTACAACTTACTTAGGCAATGCGGAATCCGTAGGCGCTATTGTTTAGGGATCAGGGTTAGGTTTCTCATTGGGTTAGTCCCCCAAGGGGCTCTCAAAACGACACTGTCCTTTGTGGTCACTCTCAATTATGACCAAACTGTAAACCTAAACCCCAAATCCCTAAACTCTAAATGCATACTCATTCGGGGATACTTACTACCAAGCTATAAGTAATTGGGGGTGACGGGCATCGAATCGGCGATCGGGGAAGCGGTGGCTGAATTGGTGACAAACCCCACCTAACCCTAAACCTTATAAGCCCAAACCGTCTCAACGCTAAACCCTATAAACCTTACAAGTGATCTTTACTTTGAAATTTAGGTTTTGGTGTGTTCGGGGGCAAGGGTTTGGTTTTAGGATTTAAGGTGTAAGCCCCCTGACGACCCCCTGATGAGCAGGTTTAGCTCATGAAGCTGTAGGGAATTGGGGTTAGAGGTAAGCACAGATCTGTGTGGCATGCCTTGAGGTTCGCACACCCCACACCAAGTCAAAAAAGGTTCTCGTGGAACATAATTCTGGCATGTGCTAAAATGGTAATGTCCGAGAGCTTCGTGACTCCCAAAAGGGTCCCTAGGCATCAGAAGCACCCCAAAGCGCGGGCACCCTGGATCTAAGCCGTGCATCGCAGCACACCATGGGGTACAGGCTGTAGAGCTTAGAGTCCTCCAGCCGCCACGAACAGCAAAAAAAGAAGCTGTCGTAGGAGCTCTCTGCGGCGCACATTTGGGAGGACCTGGGAAAGGTGTAGGAGGGCCCTGGGTTGAGGGTCCACCATTCCGAACATCAGTTTTACTGCTCTTTACCATTCTAATGGCGGTCAGTGGTTGCTACTATTCAAACCCTAGCCCCAAAACCCCAAACCAGAGACCCTTACAGCTCAGATTAGCTTCTCAGCATCGTGGCTTTAGACCTTTGGTTCAGGGCATTTTGGTAGGCTGGCTTTACGCTTGCAAGTACCCTAGTGCCAGCACGATCTTTCTGTACGCTTCTGTGCAAGCTCAAGTTTGCTTTGTTATTCCTTGCGGTGAAGCCATCTAGAGTTTTCAGCTTCAGAAGGGGATCACAAGAATACTTGCTAGATCTTGCCAGTATAGCCCGAAACCGCAAGCTTTAAGAAGCCTTTACGGCCTCAAGCCGTAAACAGTCTGGATTGACGACCCTCCACCTACTCTCTGTTAGGGCCTTTAAGTACCCGCTATCCCCCTCCAGGGTGGCCATGAACGCGCGGAATCTCCGTACTTGTTGTGGTTTTCATCCCCTGGCAGTCTCAAAAGTGCGGACAGTCATAGGGTTTAGGGTTTCTGGAGGCGCCATCTTCGTGACCGTCGTCAGTCTTGGAGTCCGACTCTGTGTACAAGACTCCAAACATGCCAACAGTCATAGGGATGGGCCAGTTTGGGCACGATCCTGGGGGCTGTGGTCGATTTGGGTAGTTGGATGTTTCTGATATTCCACCATGAATAGCTTATGTGTCCTTCTAAGACCCTCTGAAAACTTCAGAAACACTGCATAGGAATGGTAACCCATCTCTATCTCTACACATCTATATAGAGAATCCTGTTAAATCCATGTAGGTATCTTCTTTCATCCCCATACCATATAAACTTACAACTGGCCTACGTAATTATTCCTCTATTTGTGAGACCCCCACCCACCCACGCCCACGGGAGGAGGGGAAGACCTCCCGACCGCACACGCACCCACAGAGGGGGAGGGCCCCCCCAAGGGGGAAGGGAGGGTTGTGGCCTCTTCATTAGTAGGAAACGGAAAACAACCTGGACGCTACTACAGGGCTTTGGGTTGTTGGTACCCTAATGCTCCATGTAGGTACTATTTATACCGATGTAGGTTTATTCATAGGCTTAGAGCCCTAGGGGTAGGGAAGGAGGGAATGAACAAATTCATGGAGTCAATCACATAATCAAGGGATTTTCAGGGGGCTTCTCGCGAGACATATTCCTCCATTATCTATAGCAAGTCTCTGCAGCTTCAGCGCCTACAGAACTTTGCCACAGCAAGAAAGGGTTCTATCACTGGCTCCAGCCCTATTCCGTGCGCGTAGCCAACGCTAAACTGTCAATCCCTAGCCTCAAACCCTAAATCCCAACCCTAACCCCTAAACCCAAACCCCTGAACCCCTAAACCGTAAACCCCCAAATCCCAAAACATCAGCCCTAAACGCCAAATCCCTAAACCCCTAAGCCTTAAAACCCTACAGGACTGCTCCTTGCCGTCGGAGTTGCTGACCTTCGCCCTGGCCGCCATCATCTTTCTCGCAATGCTCCCCGGCCCACAGGATTAATATTGGGGTTATGTAAGGATAATGGAAAAGAAACTGGAAACTACTACACCATAATAGGGTATAGATTGGAGTTATAGTAGGGAATAAGGAAATACACGATATAGGCTTTAGGGTTTAGGCCACAGTTTCTCTCTATGCCAAGACCCTCCTAGTGACCCTTAGTTGGGGATATATGGCCCCTAATAGCGCCTACTTAGGGGAGGATAGGCGGCGGGTCTAGGTAGCGTTGTAAGGTTTCTGGGTTAGGGGCTGTCATCTTTAGGTTGTCAAGTTTTCAAGTTGACAGTTTGCTGGTCTTTTTAAGCAGGGTTTCTGTTTGGAGGGAGGTATACACAGGGATTGTATGTTCTCAGGAGATGTAGGGGTGAGCTACAACCCCTGAAGCAAAAAAACCTACACCAGGAACTCTGAATCCCTAACCATTAGCTGTAAACCCTGACCCCTAAACAGTTAACTCAACCCTTGACCGGTGTAGGCAACTGATAACAGGACCGCCTCGGGCATTTGAGGGGTCAAGGTTGAGGTGTTTGGGGATTAGGGTTCAGGTCTTAAGATTTAGGGTTCGGGGTTTAAGGTTTAGGGCTTCTGTCTTTTTTTGGTTTTAAAGATCGCCTTGTTTGCAGTTGAAAGGGTTCACAATACCCCCTCCCCCCTTCAAAGTGATGTTTATTGTGATCATATAGGGAACCCTGTTTTAGGGCCCCTAGCTTCTGGGCTGTGGCTCCTAACGTGGGTTTTACACTAGATCATGGTGAGCACATCTAGGGTAGGACAAATGATGGATATGTGGGATGTCCATGTGCGGAAGTCACAGATACAAATCCGAACGCCAGTGGGGCTGTAGCACGGACTTTGGCATCTACCCTAGGTATCCAAATTGGCCAAGGGTTCCCTCTATCGGCAGTAGCTTTACGCGCTTGAAGTTGCGGAAGTATGAGCACGTGCGGGGTTAGATTTTAGTATAGGTTTGAGAGAGAGTGTACATAGGCTTGATTAAAAACATTTTTGGTGGGTGGTACCATGTCATAACCCAGGCGCTGGGGATAGGGTGACTGGTGCAGCGGAATTCAAGGTTCGGCAGGTGCATTTTTTGTTCCCTCTGAGTAGGTGTGCCCAGGGACACCAGACAGTATTCAAAAGTAATCCCTATTTGGATGGTAGCACTGTGGAAGCCCCATGAACTAGCAACATTCTTCTGTAATTTCCTTATGTAGCAAAAGAAACAATTGCGCCAAAGCTGTACTTGATTGAATAGGCCCCACATACACAAACCCCACGTATCCCCATGCTTCGTCCTGCATTGTCTTTTCCATTTGATAACCGAAGCCTTATTCCAATTAGATAGGCCTTTGTGTTATACCTCGTGGGGTTCCAAATCTGGAATATTGGGGGGTGCACTAATTAAACCCCAAACCCTAAACCCCACACCCTAAAACCCTACACCCCAAACCCTAAACCCCAAACCCTAGACCCTAAATCCCAAACCCTAGACCCTAAATCCCAAGCACTTTCGGGTCTGCAGCAGGGCCCTTGGCCACAGCAAGGCTTTCCTTATGGGAGCTTGAAGGTGAGTGCAGGAGTGGATATAGATTTTTAGGATTTTTAGGGTCTGGGGTTTAGGGTTTAGTGTGAAGGGTTTAGGGTTAAGGGTTTAGGGTTTTGGGTTTAGGGTCAAGGGTTTAGGGTTTAGGTATGTATGCGTATTGCAGAATGAGAGAGATCTACTCTCCCATCCTCGCACCCACCGCTTAAGCACCAGAAACTCATAGACTAAAGCATGCAGCATCTCTTGGGGAAGAGCACGACTTCAAACATCCAGTCCTTATAGTAGAACAGCTACAGAAAACAGGCCTCTAGCTCATAAACGGATAGCTATATTGCATAGATTCCTAACCCCCCCAAACCCTGCTAGGTTTGGGGTTTAGGATTAGTCGGGGTCATTGAGGGGGAAACTAGGAGTTTAGACTGTATCTCATTTGGAGTATTACTAAGCCCAGGGTGTTTCGCAGAAAGCTCGGAAATCCTTAATCTGCTGGGTTGAAGGAATGGACAAGAAAATGAAAACTACATACTTGATAGGTTATACAGGGGACTACCTTAACGATCCATTCCTCCATTCCTAAGTAACCAAAGGCAAGCTTTGAAACCTGCGTGCTGAGACGACCCAAAACCCCACATCCTGAATAACACTAAACCCTAAACCCCCAAACCCCCAAACCCTAAACCCTAAAGCCCTAAATCCCTAAGCCTTAAAACCTGAAACCTACAAAGCCCCACAGGATTGCAACCATGGTGGCCTCCAGATATTGGATCTTTCACGGGCCGGACAAAGTAAACTTCCTCATCCAGACGCTGGTCTATACATACCAGGGTTTAGGATGTTCAGGGTTTAGGTTTTAGGGTTTAATTAAGGTTTGCGGAATACTTTCAATACTTTAGGCTTTCTCGCCTTGGGACTCCCCCGCCAAAACACCCTTTCAGGGGGAAAGTGACCCTAAGCCCAAATCCTCATTAGGGTTTAGGGGTTTGGGATTGAGGGTTTAGGGTTTAGAGGGCCTTTGGAGGGATATAGTTGATGAACAATATCCTAGCACACCTAATGTCAGGCTGGTTTTGATAGCCCCCCCCCTGGAGTTCCGGGGCGGACCAAGCTCGAAACAAAGGTCTGGGAAACTGGGGGGTCGAAATAGATTCTTTGGGGCCTGAGCTCTGTCAGAACAGGAGTACCTGAACCCCCAAAGTATGTAAAACAATGACCTTCTTGGCTGTTTCTAGGGATTTGGGGCCACTAGTTTACTTGCTTTTGGGGCCCAGGTAGGAGTAAGAATAGGAGCAGGAGTACCCTTTTTTAATTTGGGTTTCAATTGGGATGCAGGATCTTTAGGCCGGGGAAGTTTACTATTATCCCCTTCTTTATTACATGCCCCCCCCCGGCCACCCAATATGTGCTTGTAGCATATCCAGCAAAACATAGGTTCGCAATTGACATCAAATGAAAAGTTCTGCATCTCAGGATTGTTGCTGGCCAGGGGAACTTTATCATTTTCACTTTCTGAACATGAGAGTAGTGAGGCTTACATTACATGCCCAAACCCTGCATGTTGTGATGGTAATGGAGTCCTGCTGGATTTCATTCACGGACCGCACGAGACGCAATTTTACATTGGGAAATGGCGGGTGTCTTGGTCGCAATCCACGGATTTGTCATCGATTCTGATGTTGCAGATGTCAAAAATGCCTGCAGTCAGAGGGATGGTGCATGTCCACAGCCATCCAACTCCACAAGCACAAGGGGAAAGATCTCAACGATCTGAGGGAAACCGAGTGCTGAGTTGCTGCAGGCTTCAGAAAATTGCACGTCAGCGCAGTCTGTTCCAGGAGCCAGGAGCAACAGCCCGCTGCATGATGCTGACAGCCAGCTTTGGAACGTACTTTGTCACCATGTGCGCCACACCCAGCCCAGAGGACGGAAGGGAGAAGAAGTTTGCTCAGACCACAGGGGGGCAAGAAGGTATGAACCACACCACAAAGCAAGGGAAAACGATCTGAATGACCTCAGCATTTTTTGATAGCTACGGAGCAAAGAAGAAGGAAGGTAACCACAGAGACGACAGGCGGTTGGAAGATCTGAATGACCTCAAAGCAAAATGCTCACAGTTATGGGAACAAGCCCGTAAAACCACGGCCATGCGAAAAAAAACATACATAGTGGCAACATGAGACCGTTGTATCCGTTACATACAACTTTCATACGTGGAGTGGGGGATGGGGGGCGTTATGATGTTAGCAGGGTTGCTTGCATTGAGTCATCGCATAGCCATGAACTTGTCAACTTACTGCCGCTTGCCTGTACATTATGTTGGAAGTATCGGCACCATCCTATCGAGAGATTTGGCCGAGATTTCATGTCAATGTAGGGCTTAGTGGCTTAGTGCTTACGCTTGACTTTTACCTGCCTAAGGACGCGGCGTTCCTCACATAAATATACTATAGTAGCTTCCATTTTATTTTCCATTATCCCTATATAGCCCCAACATACTATAGTAGCTTCC